GCCAAAACAGGTGTCACAAAATCTTGGTCTTTTATATCAAAAAATAAATATGGATAATACATTAAAAGTTAAGGGATGCCTCATTTGGATCGATAGAGACAGCCGCTACAACTCCATACATAAATAAAATGAATCGAATGTCAAATAAAGGGCATATTTTTTAAATAAACGATATTAATTTGATTTAAAGTTTGAGACCTGGATCAAAGAATATTAAAAAACTAAATTAAAGCCCCAAAAATAAAAATTATCACATCGTTTTTTGCATACTCTAGTCCGAACCAAAAGCCTTGAATATTAACAAGCATTCCGACATATGCTTATAAATAGGTTTACCTTCAACCTGATCATGTATAGTCAGTATAAAGTTATTCACTTCAGGGGCATTTTCTGAGAAATGCTAAGTAATGCAAGAATTATTATGAATTTTGCTTAAGGTATGAATTAACTATTTTACAATGCATATATAGACATAAAAAGAGTTATCCTAGATTAACATTACTCTGAGGGAATCGTAGCGAAGGCATCAAAACTCAAAAGAACAGTTTATACTAGCGGACTTAAAACAACAGCAAAATAATCTTTCTTAGAGTTTCAATGATGAGCCTACAACCAATCAACCTTAATTATCCTAAAGTTAAAATATAAATAAAGTAACAAATAAATGGAAATTTCAAAAAGCATTTTCCAAAGGGAAAACTATGGTAATGGCCTACTCGTTATCGAATGATAAAACATTAATTGAACAGGTACATGAGATGTATTCACCCCATTTCATTTAAGGTTATGAAGGACTGGTAGTATAATATTCCTACAATGATATGCGTAGAGCTGACCTTTCTATTGAATTTCGGAGTCTTGCTTCTCAAAAGTTGTTCTCATCCAGGCACCAGTGGACTGCAGTTTCGACCTCGCATATGTCTTATCAACACCCCCAGCAGGAGTCGAACCGTGAAAGTGCAGCATGTGAGCTTTACACGTTAATCACTCAGCCACATTGCCACGAGTAACCTTGGGTTACAAAACAGATGTGAATTTCTGGGAAAACCAGGCCTTTTCCCATAACACATTCTTTAGTGGGATTGTCGATGAAGCAAATGTATTTTTGCTATAATAATCGACTACGTCACATATTTTTCGTATGTAAGTTTTACTGACTTACTGGTAGTCTTGAAACTCTACTTATTTACGAAAAATAAGTAACATAGTCGATAGTTATAGCAAAAATGCGTTTGCTTCATCGACAATTCCACCAAAGAATATGATATGGGAGAAGGCCTGGCCTTGAAATTGACATCTGTCCTGTTACCAAAGGGCTCTTGTGGCAATGTGGGCGAGTGTTAACGTGTCAAGCTCACATGCTGCGCTGTCACGGTTCGACTCCCGCTAGGGGTGTTGATAAGACCGATGCGAGGTCGAAACTGCAGTCCACTGATGCCTGGATGAGAACAACTTTTGAAAAAGCAAGGATCTGTGAAATTCAATGGAAACGTCAGCTCTAGTCATATCATTTTGGAAAAAATCAACTATCAGTTCTATATTAGGATGAATACATCTCATAACATAACATTTATTGGTAGTCTCGAAACTCTACTTATACGAACAATTAATCAAACAATTTGCAAACCAGACAACGACAACTCAAGAAATTTATAGAACTTTATTTGTGCAAACACCGATTAAATCTTTTGTGACACTAATTAAATTATAGATCACCTGTGGCAGTAATTTCTGCTAGAGGAACGTCCGCGTCCAAGCAGTCGTCTATCAGACAAACGGAAATACTGGTGGCAATCTAAAAGGGAATTTAGCAATGCATGAAAATAAAAACATATTTATTGATAAGAGTTTAACAATAATTAAGCAGGTTAAACAAACACAAATAATCTAAAGAATTTATGGCTGAATTAACACTGCAAGGTAAAAGCAAAATCATAGGTATAACTTCATAGCATAATAGTTTGTCTTTCAGGTCCTCAGATCTGAGAAGACTAAGAGTGTATCTTAGCTACAGAAAAAGTAACTCCTAAATTTAATAGTCATTATGCTAAGAAGAAAAGCGGTGAAATTCATTTTATCTATGCAAATGTTATTTGTCAATGATTAGTTTTCGAGGCTATCAACAATCGTTGAATAAGAGACAAACTGGTTAGCCTAAGGTGATTTAAGGACTGAAAGTTAAGCTTTTCCGAAATGAGATGAATAGATCTCACGATGCCATTGAATTTCACTTAGCTTTTCCTCCTAAAAGACTAACTCATCCTAGACAGTGACATCGTGAGGCCCATTTTGAGAAAACTCAACCATCAGTCTTTAAGTCACCCAAAGCGACCTAATGTGACTAGGTTAATGTAAAAATATTAAAAAAACGAAAATTTTACTTTCGTTTATATAAAAAACACAACACTAATTATTTTTTCGTCAGAACAAGGGCATATGTAATTATATGAGTTGTATTCACACTATTTCGTTTAAAGTTGATTTTTCCCACAATGATATGAGTAGAACTGACGCTTCCATGGAATTTCACAGCCTTGCCTTCCGAAAAGATCTTCTCATCCAGTGTGGATGGCAGTTTCGACATCGCATAGGTCTTATCAACACCCCAAGCGGGAGTCGAACCATGACAGTGCAGCGTGTGAGCTCGACACGTTGATTACTACGCCACAATGTCACGAGCACCCTTGGGTCATAAAGCAGATGTGAATTTGAAAGAATGCCAGGCATTTTCCAAATCACAGTGTGTTTAGATTATCGATAAGCAAACTTATATTTGCTATAGCAATCGACGACATTTTTTTTCGTAAGAGTAAGTTTTCGAGACACAACTAATATATATGTTTTAATGGTAGTCTCGAAAACCTCACTTACGAAAAAAGTAATGTAGTAGATTGCTATAGAAAATGTAAGTTTGCCTCATCGACATACCTAACAAAGAATGTGATATGAGAAAATGTCTAGATATTCTTGAAATTCACACCTGCCGTGTGACCCGATGGTACTCGTGGTAATGCGGCGTAGTTGCAAACATGTCGAGCTTACACACCGCACTGTCATGGTTCGACTTCCGCTTGGGGTGTTGCGAGGCCGAAACTGAGGTCCACACTGGATGAGAAGATCATTTGAGAAAGCAAGACTATGTGAAATTCAATGGAAACGTCAGCAATACTCATATATTAAAGGAAAAATCAACTACTAGTCCTTCATCACCTTTAACGAAATAGAGTGAATATAAATCATATATCTTATTTACTGATAGTCACGAAAACCTACTCACATATGTAATTAATCAAGACTTACCTGAACGACAGATAACCGAGGTGTGAGAGCATCAACAACAGTCTGCAACAAGGTGATCAGGTATCCACCAGCCTCTTTATGGCTATTAGACGGAAGACCTGCTGACATGAGAGTTGATTGACAAGAACTAGCACTGACTGACTCCAAAGTGGATGTGATGGAAGAATTGGTCGTTAATCTTAATCCATGTTCTTCAAATTGATCGCTGTTGTACTTGGAAGCCTGGTTGATGCCATCAGAAATGACAGAAACATTATCAAAGTCACTAGAGTAGTCATAGTCGGATTCTTCGATGCTCCCACTAGTATTGGTATAATTCATCACATTATTTTCGTTGTTTAGAGAAAAGCAGGACGAAAAGCCAGTTGAAGGAGCGCATGAAAGAGGGTTAGGTTGTGTAGATTCTTCTGCCCCGGGCTTCGACTTAAAGGGCACCTCAAGCAAGAGGGAGACAGCACGGCTAAGATCACCATCTGCGCCACGCAAGGCTGATGCCGAGGCATCGACAGGGAAACCCATGTCAATTAGGCGAGCCAGAGAGTAATCTAATATAATGGACAAAAATAAAATAAATTCTAGAAACTAAATATAAAAATTAAATGAATAACCAATAATTGTAGATGCTGAAGAAATAACCACCAAAATATCCTGAAAATGCAATCTACTCTATACGAAAAGAATGAAATAATTGTTTCCGTGTCCATTCGTTGCATATTTATTTACGTAAATCGGCATAAACGAGGAAAAACTTCCTACATGAAATGAATCGTAAAACTAGTAGAATTAATTGTAAACATGTAGAGATACATCTAAGAAAATATAA